GAGAGAGAGAGAGAGAAGAGAGAGAGAGAGAGAGAGAGAGAGAACGCGCCCGAGAGAGAGAAATGCAGAGAGACACCGCCGGCCGGAACGCGTAGCTATGCGCTGTGTAAGCGTCGTCACACTACGAGACGCGCATTGGCGCCAGTAACGGAGCGCCGCGGATTCCGCCCGCCGTGGTGCGCCGAGCAGCAAACCTGTCAGGAGATCGGGAAGAACTGTGTCAATCACAATGGCGACGACGCCAGGCGCCGACGCACGCACGCTCAGGTTTCCTCTTCCGCCTCGGTAGCGGCGGAGTGCGGCGCGGCGTGACGTGGGAGGGTTTATGGGTTCTCCGTTGGTGGCATGACGACGACGAAGAAGAAGAGAGAAGCTGGCGCGAAAACGCAGACGCGCCTGTGAAGTATAGTCGGCGGCGGCGAGCGCTGCGTGGCTATCCACGCGGCTTGCGTCTGTTCTTTATCATCGCGTCTACGAACGTTCAGCTTCCAGGCGGTGTGTTTCTGGGGGGTAAAGATCAATTATTGCAATTTAGTAGGATATACGCGCATGGCGGACGACCATTTTTAGATATTCCTTTATCATTTACACGTTTGTTGCATTATGATATTATCAGAAGTAAACGAACAGAATTCGTTTTAATTAACTCCAGATAATATAATACCAGGACTCCAGGAGTGTATATATATATATATTATCATATCTATAGTATACGTATATTACAAACTAGATGTACATATATAAATACCGGCGTTAGATAATAGCTATCTATATGCATGAGATGCACGGTAGCGCGTGAACAGTAAGTTACCGGTAAAAACATTTCGCGAATATCTCTCGCTGTCCGGAAAGCCGGACGGCGACGTTTTGTACCGCGCTAATAGATGGCGCTAGCTGCCCTGTGCACGTAATGCGCTGTATCAATTTAGGCAATTCATTTTCTTATAGGGCCGTTCAGATTTTGTTGGGTCTGTAAACCGCGTATCTTTGCGCATCTTGAGTGAAGATGCGTGATGCCGACGAAACATGATTTTAATAGACCCTCTCTGTCGCCAACAGCATTCAAATTCATGCAATCCGTGAACAGCTGAAATTAAAATCGTGTCTGAATAGTCGTCGAATTTTATAAATAACGTGTCGTGGTATTTCGCGTTAATTTATGACGTGAACACGGCCTCGCTTGCAAAATTTCGTGTATTAAAGCATGTAATTTAAATTACTCAAATACAGAAAAGTACGCACGACCAATGAGGTTTGTCAATGCACGCGAGCACGCAAACTATATACTACATTTATGATAATTTTATTTCTGTTGGCGGCGACATCAAAGGCCGGCGCGTCCAATCAAAGCACGCCGCTTATTGGTCACTCTCCCCGTTGTTAGGACACAATATGGCGCACTCGGCATCGCAATAACTTTATGATGCACCGCTAATTATGGCTTAATTTGATCCATATCTTTTTACGATGCCGTCCATTAGCACCTGGCACGCCACGGAGTCACACCCGCAGACAACGACCGTCTATGCGACACGTCGAGACTGGGAACCGCGGCTTGACGAAGGCCGTTGCCGTCGTGCGCATGCAGACGGATGGACGTCGACCGTCACTCTCCGCCTGTCCGCGAACAGCTTTAATTTGCGGGTAATAACGTAATAACACAAGAGTTGTGAGCGCAACATGTTGCAGGCTGTTACGACAGGAACACCCGCGCACATCGGGGGGGGGGGTGGAGGATTTCAATGGACGACAGGTCTTTGTTAAGTGGGTGCTTGCGTATAATCGCAACGCTGCATATTATATACAGAGTGGAGTTAGCACCATCATCACGCCGCGGTTCGGTTAGACGTGGATATATATATATATATATATATATGTATATATATATATATATATATATATATATATATATATATATGACACACACACACACACACACACACACACACACACACACACACACACACACACACACACACACACACACACACACACACACACACACAGAGGAATATACATAATTATATGCAGCATGTATATCCTCCAATACGTCATAATGGCTGGTGCCCATTCAAGGCTGCATACCAGACCGACTTTTGTTTCTCGCCGTCGCCAATCATTACTGTGATTAGTAACTCCTTAGGGTTCTCTGCCTGACAAACAGAGGATTACCGAGGATCAGTGTAGTAGATAAACATAAATGAGCAGACTGCAGCTAAATAGCTGTGCACTAGGCATTAGCTTAGTTAGTATACAACCCCCCCCCCTTACTCACACACCGGCCTGCGCGCGCATGCATTTCAGAACCGTGGCGGGTATACGCAGACCTACCGGATAATTATTACAGGCCTTTTACCGGCGGTGTGGTTTTAAACTGCTGCCCCCGCACATCTGGTGACAGGCTTTCCCGCTGAGGGGTCAAGTCTTTCGTTAGCCCAAGGCGGCTTTGAGAATAATACACGGCAATATATACATACATACATACAGAATAATATGCTCTTGGGGCTAGTCTTCCATGTGAGTGTGAGTAGCAGTAGAATTGGTGATGGCGGTGGCGGTGGCGGTGGCGGTGGCGGTGGCGGTGGCGGTGGCGGTGGCGATGGCGATGGCGGTGACGGTAGCAGTTGCAGTAGCAGTAGCAACAGTAGTAGCAGCAGCAGTAATAATAGCAGCAGCAGCAGCAGTAATGAAATATAGTAGTACATAATATAATATAATATAATATACATAATATAACGTATAACATAATATAATAACACGTAACAAATATAAATACGCCATAGCTCGTTTCCTCGCGATCCCTGAAGTGTCTGGATATATCACGATCGGACGGTGCGGGGGCAGGGGGTCGTTTAGCAATTTATGAAGTGTTGGGGGTACATGCGTTTACTCATGCAGGCGCTACGGGCAAGAGCAGTGAGTTACATGCACACACTGCCCTTATTACTATTGCTGCTGGAGAGGGCAGTGAGTTACATACACACATGTACACTGCCCATATACCAGTATTGCTGCGGGCGAAAGCAGTGTGCATTCAGGTACACCGCCCTTAATTTTTGCTGTGGGTAAGGGGAGATAGGCACACCGCCCATGGTATTGCCGTGAGTGACGACACA